TCTTCACCTTTAGTTCTACTGACCTATGCTTTCAGGGTCTTGTCATCCACCCCCCAACCTGTTGGTTAAAAATTTTAAGCATGGGTATTTACCCTTCTGTAAGCATATCTCATGCAGTAGATACGGTTCCTAGTGGTTCTCATGAATTCTTTAATACTGAAGTATGTTGAAAGCAATCTGATTATTTTATCATTTGAGCTATCAGTCTGGCTGTAGTTTTTCTGTTAATCCACATTTTCACATTTCAAGCTACAAAAGTAATATAAGGAACTGTGAGCCCATAAGGTGCAGAGATTAAATCTTACTCATCTTTATATCCACAGCCCTACCCAGTAGGTGGCTCAAAAATTGACGTACATTTGTCATTCATTGTCTGTCTCTTTTCAGTAAGAATGAATTACTTTCTTCTGGGAAAACTTCAGGCCTGGTGTTCATTTGTAGTAAGTGGGTGTAAAGTTAGAGAACTTCTTCACTCCCATGATGATAAAGAATGTACTACCAGAGGCCACATGATATTTTTCTACTGCATAATCCCAGGATAAATAATTTCATTCATGAGTAATTCTTACTCTTTTCACTCCACAGGACTCGGTAGCTGACTTACTATGTTATAGTCATAATCCCTCTTGATATTCAGTTTCTTCTGTGGAATAGTAAATAATTTAAATTTCTACCAAATTTAACAGTTTGACCATAGTTATTCTAGTGGAGTATTCCTGGGGAGAAGAATGGGAGAAGTGGTTTCTAAGAGGGAGAGGTGACATTTTTTCTCTTCAGACATATTATTTCTAAAACGGCAGATAGCCCAGCAAGTGTGGCTCAGTGGTTGAGCGCTGAACTATGAACCAGGAGGTCACAGTTTGATTCCTGGTCAGGGCACTTGTCAGGGCTATGGGCTCACTCCCCAGTAGGAGGCATGGAGGAGGCAGCCAATCAATGATTCTCTCTCATCATTGATGTATCTGTCTCTCCCTCTCTTTTCCTTTCTGAAATCAATTAAAATATATATATATTTTTTTAAATGGCAGATATTCTTTTGTTCCCTATCCATTTTTGTTTAAAATATTTTTGTAATGAAGAATGTGACTCTATTTTTTGATGTTAGACTGACATCTTTCAAGCCTCACCTCTCCCTTTCCCCTCTTTGTCCCACATACGGGCACACTGATATGAAAGCCCACGTGATCTTTGTGCCTGTGGAAGTTTAAACCGTGCACGGGAACCTTTGTTCGAGTCACCCTCCCTGGTCACCATAAAAACCCCAAGCTGATCTTCTTTTCCTGCTCTCTCAAGCCATTTTTGGGCCTGTTTGGGAGCCACCCTGCTCTCATATGAGTAATACAACTTTTCATACATTCTTGGTGTGTGTGTGTGTATACATCGAAACCAGATTTTGAGATCTTTGGCTTGAATAGGGTCCATCTCCACTGTATCTGCAATGATTTTTATTAAATATTTAGTGTATACAAAAGAATATTTTATGATTAAAGTGTAAAAGTAGCAATTTTTAAAAATACTAGACCTATCACCAAACCTAAGAAAGAGAACATTATCTATATATTTGAAGTGCTTTTCCCTGGTTGCATGCCTCACCCTCCATAAACAATCCCCCAGTTAATCAGGGTATTAATTACCCTGGATATTTGGTTATTTGATTATCAGTCCCTTATTTTATTTTTACATTTTAATCACAGATGTAAGTATTCCTACATTATATATTGTTTTGTTTTGCATGTTTATTAACTAATATAGATGAAATCATACTGTACATACTATTTGGGTACTTTTTCTTCTCAATACTACTTTTGAAAGTTTTATTCATGTTGATTCATGTAGGTGAATGCATTCATTTTCTCTACTATGTTGTATGTCCATTGTATTAATATGTTACAAGTAACTTACGGATTTTTCTTTCAGTAGAGATTTGATTTTTTTCTCTAACTTTTGATCTTATATGTAATATTGCCATGAACAAGAGCACATAAGCTCTGATGAAAATGTGCAAGTGTTTCTCCAGCATGTTTGCCCAAGAGTGGAATTTCTGGATTATACAATAGCCACAGTTTTAATTTTATTTAATGGTGATAAATTGATTTCCAAAGTGGCTGTAAAAATTGACATTTCAATTTTTTAGTTGTTGTTAATCCTCACCCAAATATATTTTTTTCATTGATTTTTAGAGAGAGTGGAAGGGAGGGAGGAAGAGGAGAGAGAAACATTGATGTGAAAGAGACGCATTGATTGGTTGCCTCCCACAGGTGCCCAACTCCTGGAGGTGGCGGGTGTAGAGGAGCAGGGGGGCCGGGATCGAGCCTGCAACTGAGGAACGTGCCCTTTACTGGGAATCAAACCGAGACCCTTCGGTCCACAGGCCAATGCTCTAACCACTGAGTAAAACTGGCCAGGGTGACATTCTAATTTTATATTTGACTGTTTAGATAAACAATTTTTCTAGCACCATTTATTGAAAGGTTCTTAACTCACTGATCCATATTATTGCCTCTCTCATAAGTCAAGTTTGCATATTCAGATGTTCTTTGATTTACTGTAGGATTATGTCCCAATAAACCCAATATAAGTTGAAATTGTCACAATTCGAAAATGCATTTAATTCACCAAACCCACTGAACATCATAGTTTAGGCTCAGCCAGTTTCTACTGAATGTGTCTCACTTTCACACCATTGAAAAGTCAAAAATTTGTAAGTTATGCTGCTGTAGATGTGGTCTGTTTTCAGAGTTCTCTATTCTGACTGATTTATTCGTCTATTTTTGTCTCTTTCTGTACAAGTACAATTTGGGCTTGTGAATGTGTCTTAGTTATAAGCCTTGATCGCACTTTATTATTTTTCTTCAGGAGTTTCCTAACTATTCTTGGTTCTTTGTTCTTCCATAGAAATTTAGAAACAGCTTATTGAGCCACTAACTAAAAAAAAAACCAACAAACCAATACAACAACCGAAAACTTGTTACACTTTTAATGGGATTGAATTGAATATAGAAGTCAATTTAGGGGGAGAATTTGAGGAGAACAACCGAAATGTCTATCACCTGGTAAATGGATAAGCAAAATATGGTATACAGTGGAATACCATTTGTCAATAAAAAAGAATGAATTACTGACATATGCTACAACATGGATGACTACAAAACTATTATTATACTCAGTGAAAAAAAGCCAGCCACAAAAAAACACATTGTAGTATTCTATTTATGTTAAATGTCCAAAAAAGGCAAATAGGTTAGTGTTATCTAGGGTTGGGAATGGGAATGGAAAACGGCTGTAAGTGAACATGAGGTTTCTTTTTAGGTGATGGAAATGTTCTAAAATTAGGTTGTGTGTGTGGGGGTGTTTGTACAACTATAAGTATAAAGTTCATTTATACACTTAAAATAGATTAATGTTATGGTATGTAAATTATATCTTAATGAGGCTGTTTAAAAAAAATGATCAGAAAAAGCAGCTGAAGTTTCATGATAATTATCTGACTGACTGGTTTCTAAACCTAGCCGTCTTGGTGTCTAGGTCCTGACTGATTATTCCTTGCATATAGGCTGCTCTGATGTTTGCATGGATGTTAGGATAGCAAAGGGGCAGGAGATCATGGCAAACAAATCACTGAACTGCTGCCATCTATTCCATTGCTTGCTAACTATACTTCCTACACTAAAGGCCATTCCTACTCTTCTATAATAATAAAAGTGTAATATACTAATTAGACCGGACAGCTGAACGACCTTCTGGACGTCATTCCGGATGTCCTTCTGGACGAAGCCATGGTGGCAGGGGCCAAGGCAGAGGCAGTTAGGGGCAATCAGGCAGGCAGGTGAGCGGTTAGGGTCGATCAGGCAGGCAGGCAGAGTGGTTAGGAGCGATCAGACGCTGTTGGTGCCCCACCCAGATCTCCTGGGGTCCTTTTTATCAGTTTGGTATACCCACCCCCCAGCTGCTGCCAGTGATGTTGCTAACAGGTCATACTCTCATGGTTCTGGGGAGACTCGCTCCTCTTCAATTGAAATTACTTCACTAGAAGACACTTACTTAGATGATCCTATGGTGATCCTAGAAATATCTGTGGTTAAGACATCTTGTGGGATCTCTAGAAAGCATCAAAGGAGAGTTGCAGTGGAGATGTCAACCAGCCACACTCATTGGTTACCACAGTGCTGATTAATGGCTCATGAATTGAGGAGTCATGATGGCAGAGATAAAGGCTATACATGAGCTCAAAAGCATGGCATCCCTCACCATACCTGCCAACAACAGAGTCTGATACTAAGCCTTTGATCAGGCATGAATCCTTGAGATCAACCAGCCACTTAGTGGCACTTGATAACATAAGACCCCTTGCACCCTGAAAAGGACAGCAATTCATTTTGAATAAGATTGACATATTTTCTAAGTGTGAGTTTACCTTTCATATCTGCTTTGAAGTGGTCAGCACCTCTACTCAGGGGCTCCCAGAGCATCTGATTCACTGACATGTGATCTTCCACATACTGTCATTTCAGATCAAGGGACTGAATTTATGAAAAAAGATTCAGTAGTGGGCGCATGCCTGTGTGATTCACTGGTGCTGCTACATTCCACATCATTCATACGCTGCTAGCCTGATAGAGCAAAGGAATGGCCTCTAAGAAACACAGCTGAAGCAACAGCTTGGAGATGATATCCTACAAAGATGGAGCACTGTCCTTCCAGATACAGTGTGTAGGTTAAAGCAGAGGTTAGCAAACTTTGAGAGGCCAAACCTGGCTTGCTGCTATTTTACAAACTTTTTATTGGAACGTAACCACACTCATCATTTACATATTGTCTATGGCTTCTTTCAAATTGTGATTAACCAGAATCCTGGAGAAGTTGTAAAAGAATGGAGTGAACCTAATGTGCAAAGCAAGTGGGCCTGAGTGGTACAAGGGGTGGAGCAGAGCAGACAATGTTGATGCTCTGTCCAGATCTCTTGGGTCTCATAATGATTCTGTGTGCCCACTCTTCTCCAGGTGCCTCACGTGCTGCTACTAATGGCTCACACATGCAACAATTTCTGGAGGCTTGCCCTTAGTGGAGCAACATTACCAGGAGGTATCTGGAAGTTATGCACCACTCATCCCTGTAACAGTCAGTAAACAGTGACTGCCTTATGCCTGATATGGAGCTACAAAAGCCTCACTTCCTTGTCTCAATGTGCAAAGACTGTGGTGTGGTATATGCATGAGAGCTCCTGGAGATTTCAGGCTGAGGCTACACCAAGCATGTCAGACTTGCAGCCTGTGGGCCGCATGCAGCCCACAATGAATATTTTTGCGGCCTAGCCAATATCACGGTATGTAAGAAACATTTTAATAAAAATTTCATAATTTTTACAATATCCTGTTATACGTAATTATTAATAATGAGCTACAACGTTCGCTAATGACTGATTACTATAATCGTGTTGCATTCATTTCCCTTATGTGCCTTATGTGCAGGTGCACCATTTCCACTAATACTAGCAGCGAATATTTTAGCAGCTGATTGCCACATCATTAGTCTTGGACTGACTTGTTTGGTGTGCGCAACAGGAAATATTTCACTTTCAGAGAACAGGAAAATTAGGTTTATTTGCGTTATGCTTATTAATTTGTGCAGTTATTCAGTGTCTGGTAAGTTAATGTTCAAGGAAAAATATTAATTTTTATTAAAATGTTCTATTATTTTATGTTAACGATTACTCACTTATTTCAGCCCTTTGTATTCAGCATGTCTCTATCAAAATAAACCTACGTTTCTATGAAAATTGGAGCTTTTGTTTTTTTGTGGCCCACATAAACGTAAACCTTGTTTATTTGGCCCGTGTTAGCCTTTGAGTTTGACGTGCTTGGGCTACACCGAGCTGAAACCACACTCTTGCTTTGCTTCTTCCCTTGGCCTCTGTGGTTTCCCCTCATTCCCTTGCAATTTTCTCTTTTGTAAGTATAGTTATGAGGGTGGACTGTAAAAGATGCTGTTGATATGCTGATTGATCTAAAACATGCAGCCCATGATTGTGTTTGGCCCAAGATATCTCATGTAATTATGTTATTTCTCCCTTTCAAAACTTGATTATATCTTTTCTGCTTTTGTAAAGTTTATTCTATTTCCCCCCTAATGTCTAAAGATGGAATGCTTAGTTCATTAATGTTGAGCCTCTTTTGTACTTACTTAGGAATATATAATTATTCATTTTCCTCAAAATAAGACTGTAGCAGTATCTCACAAGTACTGAATTTGACTTTATCATTCAGCTCTAAGAAGTTTCTGATTTTCATTATGACATTTTTTTAACCTACAAATAAAATAAAATTTCCAAATACATGGCAGTATTTCTACTTGTCTGTTGTTATTGTTTTTTAACTTAATTTTATGATTGTCAAGTAAGTGTTTTGTATGATATGAATTCCTTGAAATTTATTGAGATTTGTTGTATGAACTACCATAAGTATTTTGTGCTTGAAAAGAATGTATTTTCTGCTGCTGTTGAGTGTGGTGTTCTATACTTATTTTTTTCATTAAGCTTGTTAGTTGTGTTCTGTAGATTTTTTTTATATCCTTATTTTTGGGCTTTTAAAAAATGTACTGTGAGGAAATTAAGTTAAAATCTTTTTTTAACATGGTAAATTTGTTCATATATTATGAGACTATGTTATTAAGAGCATAAGTTTAGAACTGCTATATTTTCCTGATGAATTGAAGTTTTTATTTTTATGTAGTGGTCATCTTTATCACTAGAAATACTTTTTTGCTTTAAAATCTCATATTTTGTATGATATTAGTATAGCTATACAAGATTTCCTTAGTTTAGTATTTTCTTAGTCCATTTTCCCCATGCCTTGACTTTTAGACTTTCTCTATTCAAATGTTTTGGGTGAGGCACTTACAAAGAGCCTAGAGTTGGATTATTTTTAATCCAGTCTGACAATCTTTGACTTCTACTTAGATAGTTTAGACAAATTCCATTTATTAGGATCAGTTTTACATTTGATATGGTAATTATTTTATTATAAAAATATTCACTGACCTTTCCTAATAGCTCCTCCTTACAAGGCCCCTCTCTTCTAGGCCTGTTCCTGTTATACTTCTAACCTCATTAATATCTAAGTCCATTAAAGGCTTGGCCATGTAATTGATTGATTTCTTTTTTAGCAATTAAAAGTGAGTATAATTAAATGTGCTACTTCTGAGTCACGTTGTTGTTCTGAATTGCTCTCTGCTACAGTAATGTGGTGGTTCAGACTGAAGCAATTCCTTGGGTCTCAGTCCCAGATTGAAGACTGGCATGCAGTGTGAATGAGAAGTAAATCTTAGATTCTGTAAGGCTATCCTGCATTTGTTCCATAGCAATTTTGAAATTTTGGTGGGCAAATATTGTTAAAGCCCTCCATATTTGAGATGAGGAATGTTCCTTGATTCAGCCTACTCTACAGAGAGTTGAGGGATTTCTTTTTCCATTGTTCTTTGTGGCCCTGACTCTACCTTCTGGAAAAATTTTCCTTTTCCTTTGTCTTCTTGACCACATCTGAAATAGAGGGCAACAGAACCTCCTTTTGGATCATGTGGTTTTCTTAGTGCTTTTCTTGCCCTACTTCCTCTGACAATAAAACTACCCAAAACTCAATAGACTTCCTATCTATTTTATTCCAATCGGCTGTATGTGCCAGATCCATATCCATAGTTTTTATAAGATGTACTTTCTTAGGGTGTTATATTTCTCTTTTCTCACATACATATATTCTACATTCCACTCCCTTTAATACCAAGTAACTTGGGTCTATTAGAGGTCACTGGGGAAGATACATAAGTTGTTTTATTTGAATAAGCAATTTTTTGGTACCACACCCTAATTGGCTTTTTTTCCCGAAGTCCTTAATCCATCTAATGGTTTTCACAAAGTTATAATGGGCACACCTTTAATTTGACCTCTGCCTCCAAATTGTGTTATAATTAGCTTTTGTTACCCAAAGATTTTATTACACTTAATTTTTACATTTTGGGGTGGTAAGGTAGTGGTGGATTTTTTTTTCATCTCTGAAAGTCAATGGATTTTTCTATTTTCTATTGTCTTTATTCCTGTTTGCAACATACAAATTCTTTTCTGAATTCAGGAAATGGTCAAAGTCTATCAACAGTTACCAACACTCACTAGTAAAGTGTTGTTTTCCAACTTCTTCCCCTAGATACTTCTGGCTCTGTAACCTTGGACAAGTTACTTAACCTCTCTGTGTATAGGTTTCTTTAGTTTATAATATTGAGTTAGTAATAATACTATCTTCTTCAGAGGGATTTTTGAGGATTTAAAGTAATAATCCAAGTAAACCCTTAGAACACTCTTTGGCATACGTAAGTGCTTCCTACTATAATTATTACTACAATGTAAGCACTTCAGTTTGCATCCCTTGCTGTAGACAGAACTCCATCCCTCCACCATTAGATAGATTAAACCAGACAATCAGATCAGATCATAACAAGAGAGCAGCTGTGCTTTCTGGGTTATTCTGCCCTAAGCAATTCTGCACAGGGACATCAATCATCCAGCCCATGTTGAGCTAAAGTGTGGCCAGTCCAATTACTTTTTATAGTCTCTATTCTAAAGGGAAGATCTTGCCTCACATCCTTCCTGCATTTTTCAGTTTCCTGGCTCCAGATACCCTGCACATAATTAACCAAAAAGGAACAAGCAATACTTGCAGGGTAGTGCTCTCTAAATTCACACAAGCAGTCAACAGCATTTTCCCACCTGCACCATGAACCTCACTCCAAAGAAGTTACAGCATCTCAGACATATTTCTGATTCAAACAGACTTGAGAAGTCCCTCACTAAACACAATGCTGGCCACTCAATCTAAATCATCTGAATCAGGTGAAGAGTGATTCCCCTCACTCCCCAGCTCCTGCCCTCCCCCCCCCCCCAAAAAAAAGTAAAATCAACTCTAAGTCAGGACTGGAAAGAAGTTGGCAATTTATAAAAGATTCCAAAAGAATCCTAAAGCCTGGCTTTAAATAATCATATCTAGATACAAATTTAGATTATAAATATAATGTACATATAATTTTAGCAGAAGAGAGTCTACTCTCCATAATATCTTAAAATCAGCTCTTTTCACTTAGCACTGTATTGCTAATATATTTGATGTCAATACATTTACTTTTACAATATTGTTTTTACTGGTTTATTGTATTTTGCTGTATGAATGTAACAGTTGCCTATACTTGTCATCTGGATTGTTTTCTGAGACTCCCTAAGACAATAATCCTAATATATAAAAACCCTGGGTCATAACAACCAGTAACAACGGAGGCTCGACCAACCAGAAGTCAGTCCTGCAGTCCTGACTGCTGAGGGGGCTGCAAATCAGGGCCAGAGAGAGGCCTGAAGAGAGAAGCAGGGACTGATCTGTTGCTTCTGTGGCAGCTTTTGATCAGCACTTGCCTCTCTCTTTCTCTCTCAGTCTGGCCAGCAGCCATGCCTCCATTTCTCTCCAGGCCTCCACCAGGCTGCTGATCAGCCCCGCCTTTCTGATCAGGCCCTGTTGATAGGCCCAGAGACACTGACTGGCATAGAAACTGACCAATCAGAACCAAATCTGGGTCAACTGTGCGGAGCCAATGGCTGCCTAGGAGGCGGAGCTTTAGATGCTGACTGGCATAGAGACCAACCAATCAACCAAATGGGCCTGCAGAGGAGGGCTGTTGGGGGCGAGATCAGGCCGCAGGGGAGGGCAGTTAGGGGCGATCAGGCAGGCAGAGGGGTTAGGGGCAATCAGACAGGCAGGCAGGTGAGTGGTTAGGAGCCAGCAGTCCCAGATTGCGAGAGGGATGTCCAACTGTCGGTTTAGGCCCGATCCCACAGGGGGTCCCCAATTGGAGAGGGTGCAGGCTCGGCTGAGGGAACCCCCCCTCCATGCACGAATTTTGTGCACCGGGCCACTAGTGATGTTATAAACACTCTTATACATTAAATTCGGAGAGCAGGTTTATTTGTTTATCTTGGGATTTTTTTTTTTTTTTTTTTAAGATGTAGTTCTAAGTCTTGCCCACCTTTGGAAATAATCCATTTGTAAGAAAGAAAATCTTAAAATATCCCAATTTAAATGTTCCATTTATTTCCAGTTAGAGCTTAATTGACACAAAGACTATTACTTATAATATCTACTATATGTCTTGTACTTTACATTCTTTACTTAAATCACCCAACAGCCATTTGTGCTGTATTATTATCCTCATTTATGAAATGAGGCTCAAAGAAATAAAGTAGTAGATGGTTAAGGTCATAGATGGTTAAGAGCAGAAAATTTGAATTCTTTCCGG